ATAAAATAAAAAATTTATATCTTTATGTTTGAAGCCTGAAATGTGGCAAAAGGTTGAAAAGTTCAAGGGGGCCGAATACTTTCGCAAGGCACTGTATGTGGTTATTTTGAAGCAGTTGTGATAGGTAGCTTATGAAAGAGCTTGGGATCTTTTTCCATCTGAAATATGATGAGTGATACCTAAGCTACAGTTATATAAAATTGTACAATATTTTCATGTTGGAGAATAAAAACATGGTAACATTTGCAAATTTGAAAGAGGAGAAAATCTGAGGATTGTCTTGCTTGTCCAGTTGCTTGCATCTTCTCAGACTATGGCCTCTTTGAACCATTGCCTCTAGGTTTCTTGTTTTTTGTAAGGTTTTGATGTCAACACTGTAAGTAGAACCAGTGCTCTTTGTTTAAAGAAGTCTGTATATAGTTATAAATGAGTTTAAAGCTGCTCTCAATATAACTTCACAGCAGCTGGATAATTAAGCTTAAATACATAAAGGTAATTGCTCTAACTGTGCTCTATTAAAGTTCAACTTGAAAAATCCTGGATTAACTTGTTTAACTCCTTTCATCTTTCTTTTAGGTTATGGAGGTCTTGGTTTGTCAATTGAAGGTCCAAGCAAAGTTGACATAAACTGTGAAGATGTGGAGGATGGAACATGCAAGGTGACATACTGCCCGACTGAACCTGGAAACTACATCATCAATATCAAATTTGCTGACAAACACGTGCCTGGTAAGGAGTATTTCTAAAAAAGACTGCTGAACACACAAAACAGAAAAAAATCACTGAACAAGATATTTAGTGTATTATTTTTGTTCAATCTTTTACTGAAGCATAAAATCAATAAGTCGAGAGAAAATAACACTCAACTCATCTGACAGAACAGAGGACTAGTCTTCAAATCTAATGTCTACTGGCACTCTTTACTTTTTGACACACATTTCTAGCAAATAGAAATCACTGATCATTAGTATTGTATGCAGTATTAAAAGCATCATGTGAAAAAATACCTAAATATCTGTTTCTCTTATGAAAACTGCCTTTATCAGTATACAGTATACGTAATGTTATATACAGTCAAATAGATTGATATACCTTTAAGTCTAGTTCATCATCCTTTAATGTTCATGTATTCCTAAATCAAGATGCATTTGTTTTGCAGGAAGTCCCTTTACAGTCAAGGTGACAGGAGAGGGAAGGATGAAGGAGAGCATTACAAGAAAAAGACAGGCTCCCTCCATTGCAACTGTTGGTAGCACATGTGACCTTAACCTCAAAATCCCAGGTAACCAGATACAAGAGTGATTTTGAATAAAGTTATATGTGAAGATGTAAGCCTTGAGCCAAGAACATATGTGATTTTTCTTCACATTCCTTTCACCTCATGAAATGTTGACTCATTTCGCTCATAATTTAAAAAACTTTTGTTTCCACCCTCAAGCTTTCCATATTTTGTGTTTTTAAGCCTGTGTCCTGCTTTTGTTTATATCTGTCGCTAGCTTTGTCCTTGATAAAAAAAAGGCTGAGGCCCATACTAGACAGGAAGCACTAACATGGACAGGAAAGCAGATGCACATACTGTAATTAACAGAGCACATGTTTCCATTTTTCCTCCTGGAATTAGGTTGATGGGAAATTATGGTTACATTCTGCGCAGCAATATGCTAAACTATGAAAATGTCACTTATGTAACAGGTCTTTTGACAATGTGAAATTGTTTGGATATAAACTATTTTGAGTCATGCAACACAGAAGCATGTAATCAAGCACAAAAGTCCCCAGACTAATTCAAAGATAAATGGAATTGAACTGTTCTTTGACACACATAAAATAATATAATAGGCAACTTCAATTTTTTTTAACTCGAATGATGTTGATGCTCTAGGGCAATACGTTAAGAAGTACACACATTTGTGTTGTTGTCCAGTTTGATTCGATATTTTATAACATCATCTGCAAAAAGAATAACATTATTTCCCTATCAGTATAAAAATATCAATACTTTAGAATTCTTTCATAAAGGGAATAACATCTTTAAAGAAATGTCTCACCACGCTGTGTGAAAGAAGATATGTGAACCTGAAATAAAGGTCCTCTTAAAACTATAGTTAAGGTTAGGGTTATGGTTCCAGCTACTGTATTGCCAGGATTAGAGCTTGTTACCTACTTTCAATTAATCAACTGTATGGACTGTTTTTTGTCTAATTAATTTAACCCTGTTATTACTTTATGCATTTAAAATGTTATTACAACCCCTGATCTAAAGTGTTACTAAACAAGCAGGTTAGCTTGTGGGGCAAGGGCTGATGTGCTTTCACAAGAAGTGCACCAGACTCAATTAGTAGTTAATTCAAACATACATATTTAAATATAGTCACTTTTGTCAGCATAACCAAAACGACTTACTAATCAAGTAAAAATCTAGATAAGGAAACAAGAAAAGGAATAAATACAATAGTGTGCACAGGCGTATGGGCTTGAGTATTTTTTTTTACCAACGGTATCTTCTACTTTCTAAACCTTTTTTCCTCAATCCCTCTGTTCTTCCTTCCTTCCTCTCCTTGTTCCCTCATCCTTTCAGGGAACTGGTTCCAGATGGTATCGGCCCAGGAGCGTTTGACACGAACTTTCACCCGCAGCAGCCACACCTACACGCGCACTGAGCGCACTGAGATCAGCAAAACAAGGGGTGGGGAGACCAAGAGGGAGGTGAGGGTGGAGGAGTCCACTCAGGTCGGAGGAGACCCCTTCCATGGCGTCTTTGGAGAGTTCTTGGGCAGAGAGAGTCTAGGAACTTTCAGCGGTATTCCCAGACAAGAGGGTGTGTGTCTCAGACCACTTCAGCTTTTTAGCTCCTGTGTTTCTTTAGGAACATAAAAGGATGCCTGAAAGAAAAGTGGCATACTGTATGTGGCATGTTGTGGTGTGAAGAGTTTTGCCAGTTTGCCCAAGGAGTTTTTACAGTTGGTTTGAATCAGAGCCCAGCTGCTGTCAAAATTTGTGAACCTGGAAGCAAGATTTTTAGACTTTCCCCCCAGGAGAAATATATTTCAAAATTATATATTCATATAAAATGACAACATAGCTGGAAAATGTGATCGCCAACTTGTTAACTCATGCATCAATCATTTAGATTGTCAACTGTAAGAAATAAAACAAAATTTTCTACGACTAACCTTTCTGCAACAAATTATATTTCGAAGAAAATGTATGTTTAAGAAACTTATAATGGAATATAATATGAAAATATGAAATAAGGGTACTGTGTTGTATGTACCCTTCTAGCCAATTATAAAGGGCTTTAATCACACTCTTATAATCTGCTGATTATCCCTTCACTGCTTTACCTGTCACTCTGCACTGTTTAATCTTTATTAATCTCTGTTACATCTTACACCAGACCTCTGGTGTTTCAGGATGATGTGTACCTCTTCTTAATTTTAGTAGTAAAGTGTGGTTTAAGTTCACGATGAGACACCTGAAGTCTCTTTCTTCCTCTGTCTGGTCTCTTAGGAGAAGCTGGGTCCCAGGATATGACAGCCCAGGTCACCAGCCCAGGAGGGAAGACTGAAGATGCTGAGATCATTGAAGGAGAGGACAGCACCTACAGCGTGCGTTTTGTGCCTCAGGAGATGGGCCCTCACACAGTGAATGTGAAGTACCGTGGACAGCATGTGCCTGGTAGCCCCTTCCAGTTCACTGTTGGGCCACTGGGTGAGGGTGGAGCTCATAAGGTCAGAGCTGGAGGCACTGGTCTGGACCGCGGAGTTGCAGGAGTTCCAGGTACTGTCTTGAAATGTAAAGAAAACCCTGTTTTCTTTAACACTTTGATTTCCCTTTCTGAGCAATCCATTCACATAAAACCTAACAAAAAATTAATGTGCCATTAACTTTTGGAGTATTAAATGAAGCCTGGTAAAGGATAATAAAAAACTGAATAGTTAATCTTACATTTGTAATGTTCCTCATTGATACACTTTTTCATTCATTGCATCAATTAACTGATTTATAAATATGCATTTCTCTGCTCTCCACAGCGGAGTTCAGCATCTGGACGCGAGAGGCAGGTGCTGGTGGCCTCTCCATTGCTGTGGAAGGGCCAAGCAAAGCGGAGATTTCTTTTGAAGACAGGAAAGATGGATCTTGTGGTGTCTCCTATGTTGTCCAGGAGCCTGGTAAGGCTATTCACACCTGTCATTCAATGTATTTTGCACTGTGCAAAATTAAGAATAAACTGATGAAGATGTATCACGATTTAGCAATGAAAACAATTATCGATTCTCGGCTAAAAACATGTTTCAACATGGAAAACGATGGCCTCAACAAGTCAGTAAGATGTCAGGTGTGCTTAATTTGTATTTGTTCAGTATATGTTTTACAAGGTAGACTGTTGTAGGCTTTTGGATCATCACAGAGGAAAACAATCCTAAAGATACAGTATTATAGTCAATTATACAACAGCTGAATTAAACCAATTGGATATATGATTAACAAACCATAGAGCTCTAACCTCTCTTTTTGGTTAAGTGTAAAATTATTATACAAACCAATAAAAAGAACATATTGATAGGTTATTATGGAACACAATTGGGAACCTATATGAGCACTGTCATCAAATGTTCTCTACTATTATGTCTGTAATCTCCTAAAGGATAAATGCAAAACTGTGTGATACCATATTATACAGTGCAAATAGGGCCACTATTATAATTTAACACATGCAGTACAGGAAAATACTCTATCATAAAATGTCCTAGATTGCGGTCTTTGACGTAGAAAACTACTTATACAGTTCAATTCAATTCAACTCAACTCAACTTTATTTGTCATTATACTTACAGTACACAGGTGCATAGTATAATGAAAAGTGCTTCTCATTAGTCTCTCAGGTGCAGTATACTGTATATATAGAACAGCAGACAAGACAATAGATAATAAATACAATAACAATAGCAGTGTAAACAACAGTATGGTACCACTGCGACAGTACCCATATCCCATACCCAGTGCATAAAGAATCATGTTTACTGTTGAACACGTGTAGAAATTCAATTATGCTATGCTATGGACGGTTCTTGCTCATGATCTTTCTACTAAGAGATTACTTTGCTTTGATTTTTTAAAATCATTTTGGAGAAAGTTGATAATGTTAATAGTAACTAGAATTGATTGAGTTGGTTCTAACTTCTGTTCTGGTTTTCCAAGGTGATTATGAGGTGTCAATCAAGTTCAACGATGAGCACATTCCAGACAGTCCCTTTATTGTACCAATTGCTACGCTGTCTGATGATGCACGGAGACTCACTGTCACCAGTCTGCAGGTACACTTGTTGGCTATAATATGACTCTTCTTCAAGCTGTTTATCCCCATATATACTGTGCATACAGTGATTACCCTAGAGAATAACTTACTGCTTTTGTCTGTGCTTTAAATAAATCAGTGATCCATTGTCCTTTTTTATATAAAGTATAATTTTAGAACTGATTGGCTTTTTTATCATATACCCTATTCCTCAAATTTGGAATTGCCAGTTGAATCTTTACTGCATGGCTCACAGCAATGTCTGCTGTACACACACATTGAGAGAGTGAGAAAGTGCAGAGGTTGTGCCTCCAACCTTTCCACTCCTTGAGCTCTTCATCTTTTGACATTTTAGAAGTTCTGTAGTGCTTCCTACAAGCTTCGATGCCAGCTAGAGGACAGGCATATCCCTCTTTGAGGTCATTGCAAGTCAACAGCTACAAGGGCTTTTTTCTTGTGGGGAGTCAATAGAGCCACAGCTGACTAATTCCAATCCTACCCTGGTGGTTCTGAGCCCATAGTGCACTGCTGCTTGTGGCATCCTGGTCACAGTCAGCTAGTGACATGACCCAACCTGGAACTCACACTGTCTGGGTCACAGAGCTCAACCTGGACTTGAAGTGACCCTTGTGGGCTTTTTAATCTATCTGTCACAGGAATTATAGACAAAAACCTTACAATATACTGTATATATTGCAAGACATTAAGATGGCTGAAACTGACTTTTGGTAGAGCTGCAAAAAATTTAAATGGTGCATAGTATTTGAAATTGTTGTGTTTCCAAAAATGATCTATTGATAGAAGAAGTGCCTGATGGGTCATACTGTATCTCTCTGACTATTGCATAAGTTAAAGCGAATGCTAATTTGCTTTTACATTTGTAGTATTTTATCAAATATTTCAAGTTCTTATGAAATACTTTGTTTCAGACAACAAACCCAGCAACAACCAAAGAAAGTCAAATATCTGGGAGATCCACATATTCAGTATGTGTTAAAGCAGAAGGCTTAAGTTATATTTATGTCAAGTTATATTTATATCAAGTTATGTACTTGGATGCATCTAGAGTAATGTGTATCTTGTATTGCACCTTTTATCATCCTGTGCTGATACAGAGGCTTAACTGTCCTTCCAGTAATCACAAGTAGGTTACATTATATGAGACCTGCTCTGTGCTGAGATATATTGGCTGTATCCTGCTTGGACTGTTCACATAGGAATTGTTCCCCTCTGCTCTGCACATTTTACGTGTGTGATCATCTCCAAAGGCAACCAAAATAACATGGCAGTTAAATTTAACACTGCTCTGCCATCCCTTACAGGAGACCGGATTAAAGGTCAACCAACCGGCATCCTTTGCGGTGCAGCTGAACGGAGCCAGAGGGGTGATTGATGCCAAAGTTCATACACCATCTGGGGCTGTGGAGGAATGCTATGTCTCTGAGCTGGATAGTGGTAAGAACGTGAACCAGATCTTTTTTTATTACCTTTAGAGCAGAGTCGCAGTACGTGTGAAAAAAAACACTTAATTTTATGAAATTTGAATGCCAAAGTAAAATATATAAAATAATTATAAAATTATAATAGACATATCTTCTAAGCTTTTTTGATTAATTAATTAATAGGTGCTTTCTTCTGCCTTTGACTATGTATACATATAGGCTTGACAAGCTTCATTTAGAAAAAGCTTGGGTTGCCATGCAGTGATGTTTGGATTAATGTGTGCTTAACACATGAAAAAAAAAACATTTAAGAAATGGTCTTTATTAGTTATATTGTTACATTGTGTTATTATTATATCGTGTAAATTGGCTACTAAACCTTTAATAAAGTATGTCCAGCCTTTGATAATAATTGTATAATGTCCTGACAAAGCCTCTGTTTTGCCATCAGTTAATCAAAGGGTCTTGAAGGAACAGCTGCAGAATATCACATGCCATTTGCCCCCTCAGTCATAAATCTCCACCCCCCGTTATCTACTTGTTACCAGATGTTAAAAAGTCAGTTGTCAGAATAGTTGAGGTTCATATTTTCATCAAACAGAAAGCGTTTGTGTCAAGAACATTCGTTAAGCAGGATCGATTATTTTTTCTTGTTCCACAGATAAGTATGCCATCCGCTTCATTCCCCACGAGAACGGAGTCCACTCCATTGATGTGAAGTTCAATGGCAGCCACATCCCAGGCAGTCCTTTCAAAATCCGGGTGGGAGAGCCCGGACAGGCTGGGGACCCAGGGCTCGTGTCTGCGTTTGGGCCTGGGCTGGAGGGAGGAACCACAGGTAAACTTCCCATTTCATTTCCCATTTTCTATCTCTTTCTGACATATTTATATCAAAATTCATGTCTACTGCTTTTCTTAGGGAGACCTGTTAAGAAACTGTCCTCACAGAATGTACATTTTGCATCCCCCCGTTGTAAACATACAGTAGCACAAAGATCAAAATACAAGTCATTTAGAAATTATTAAGGCAATGAGTACTCTTGACATTCTTGCTTTAAGATTGTATGCGTTTATTACACTGAGGAATGTTTTGTTACTATGTTAATACATTTAAAATATTTTTCTTTTGTTCATTTATATCATAGTAGATGTTTGTCCCTCTTTCACTTCCTTTAGGAGTGCCTTCTGAGTTTATAGTGAACACATGCAATGCTGGGTCTGGCGCTCTCTCAGTGACTATTGATGGCCCCTCTAAGGTGAAGATGGATTGCAATGAATGCCCAGAGGGATATAAGGTTACTTACACACCAATGGCTCCGGGAAGCTATTTAATTTCTATTAAATATGGTGGACCTCAGCATATTGTGGGCAGCCCTTTCAAAGCAAAAGTCACAGGTAAGAAAACTGAGATATAGAGATAAACAATTATGAAAATCTGCCTTAAAAAACTATGCAGAGTGGAAATTAGCTGAAAGTTAGACTGATAAAACTTTAAACAAAATTACAAAACCCTAAATAAACAACCGTTTAAGTCCTTTGTGAACTTACTGTATACTGTAGATGGAGGCAATGTATGAAGAATTACAAAGCATTTTGTCTGACAAAAATGTTTTAGAAAAAAGGGGGAAAACAGTCTATCAATAGAATTTTTTTTTTCATTTCTATGTAAGGTTTAACTAAATTTTTAACTGGTTCCACCTTTGTCATTTATTTGCAGCATCTGCATACTGTATATACTATAGCTATCATCCCAAAAAATTATGTTGTGAAAAATGAAATGTTATTATCATTTTTATTAGAAAGTTAAATTGACTGGCACTCCTTATGTGACTTTATGAGGATAGTCAGGGTTTTGTAGATCTAGAGATGGTTTTTGATGCTCTAGTGATAGTGGTTCTTAATAGTTCTTTGATTCTAAATGTGTAGGTGCTCGCCTGTCAGGAGGTCACAGCCTGCATGAAACCTCATCAGTTCTTGTGGAAACTGTTACTAAAACTGCCACTGTTGGAGGATATAGTGCCATGCCAAAGTTCTCATCAGATGCCAGTAAAGTTGTTTCAAGGGGTCCTGGTCTCTCCAAGGCCTTTGTTGGGCAGAAAAACACTTTTACAGTGGACTGCAGTAAAGCAGGTAAGTGCGTTTTGACAGAGCGGCATTGATAGTGAACATCATTCTTTAGTTGCTAAGGGAAGATGGAAAACTCTTTACTCTTCTATTTAAACACAGGGTTTGTAGAATTGTTTTAAAATTAAGTGGTGGCAATGAAAGGATGATATCATAATGGCCAGTGCTGGTCAGTGCTGACACTCCCAGCTCTTGGCTCCTAGGTTAGATTCTGCGCTGGGGCTCTGTACGTGGAGAGTGCATGTTTTGTCTATTTTTGGATAGGTTTACTCCAGTTGCTCCTATAAAGACATGCTGACTTGATTAAATGATGTCTCTAAATTGTGCCAATGTGGACATGCACCCCATCTAGGGAATTATAAGTCATTATAAGTGGTTTATAATTCTGAAAAGGGCTATTGCAACCTTTATAAGCAACTTTCGGATGATGGATAGATGGATGCATCTGTTTTTTACTTCTTCTCTTTTCTGCATGAATGTTCTTCAATGGTTTGACAGCTAGAGTGAGAGATAACAAAACTTTCCCTTTTTTTGTAGGTACTAATATGCTAATGGTGGGAGTGCACGGTCCAAAGACACCTTGTGAAGAAGTGTATGTGAAGCACATGGGCAATAGAATGTATAACGTTACATACACGGTCAAGGAAAAGGGGGACTACATCCTTATTGTCAAATGGGGTGATGAAAATGTGCCGGGAAGCCCCTTCCATGTCACAGTACCTTAAGCACAGCACAGTACTTATGTTACATATGTTAAACCCCCCTTGCTATGCAACCTAATGGACGATTCTGAGATGCACTAAAATTGCAAAATAACTTCAAGCCATGTGCCAAGTGTTTCATTAGCATATTCATTTTTTTTAAAAAAAAAAACAATAATATTTTTGCAGTGCATGAAGACAAAGTTGCGATGTCACATTAAACAATAAGTGCACGGTAAAAAAAAAATACAAAACACCTTTTCCTGCTTTTTTGTTGAGCATTTCTTTTGTAAGTTCAGCCCTTACAGTAGGGTTAAAGATTGTTGTTTTTTCTTTTCCTTTTTGGTAACTTTTTATATATTTATATGGAAGACAAGACATGCAGTATGGATAAAGTGAATCTTTTTTCCATTTCATATTGGGCCAATTTTAAGCCTTAAAGTTTTTATTTCTGCTCTGAAAAGAAGGAATCCTTTGAATTCCAGTATTTGGGTGGTATATAGTACCTCTTTCTTGCTTAATTCACATAGAAAGATAACAGTAAATGTATTTATAACAACAAACATACATAACATCTTGCTTTTTTTAAACAAATGTCATATTAAACAATATTAAAAAGGCCAATATGAATTTGAAAAAAAATAAATATCACTTTGAAGAGGTCACTGTCAGAGTTGAAAGGATACTGGAGGTTGTTGCAATTAATTTATTTTGTGAAATGTATTTTTTTTCTTTTATGTGAAAAGGAATTTACCTGATATCTGCTGGGAGAGAATTTCTGAAAAGTAAGATTTACAGAGTCAGAAATAAGTATGAACGTTTGAAAAATAATTTGTTAAAACCTATCACTTAAACACTGAACATTCTGACAGTGACTTCTTTTCATGTCCTGGCCCGTTATATAGGATTGTGATTGGTCAGAGGCTGAAGAAGTACTAAAGAAAAAAGACAGGTGTAGCAATGTTTTATTATGTGAATGTCAAAACACAGATTTTGTCATGAAACAGTATTAAAGAGTGCCATTTTATAGTGTTTTTGTATGTATTAAAATAAGAATACCTAACTGTTTGATATATTAACCTACTGTTTGGTAAGAATGTGCAGGCATAATAAAGGTTTAACTGCTAACTTGCCACAAAAATACAAACACTTGTGGTCTTGTATGCTTTACTGGACACTGCTTAGTAATGGTGAATATTTTCAGATAAAGCTGGAGAATAATGGAAATGTTGCTTATAATAAAACTCTGATAGTGGCTGAAGAGCCGGTGCATTAGGAAATTATAGTAACATCTTTTCTCCAACTGTCACCACTGACACCTACTGGTTTTAATTTGTAGTGCTTTTTCATTTTTTAGGGCGCTTGAGGTTTTGCAGTTTGATATACAGTACCTTCTTACCATTCATTTTAGGATAATAATGTTGCAATCCAAATATTAAGAAATCACATGGTTTTTATAACTATAAGGGGAAAAGATAATAGTTTTATTTTCACAATTATATTACTTGTGTTAGGTATTTGTTTCAGGCATTGATTCTAATGGTTATCAGTCACATACATTATTTTACAATAGGAGAATTTTTCGGTTGGCATCTGGACTGTTTTCCTCCTTTTAAGCATAGACATTTCTTTTAAAAAATGGCAAATGGTTTCTCCACTAAACCACTCTTCACTTACTCTTCTGATAAATTGAAAGTATTCTTTTTCTGGGGGGGTGGGGGGACTGCTTGACAGGCTCCTTGATTGCGTGACCCAGCTTCATCTTGGTAAATGATTATTTGCTCAAAGAGCTTCAGAGGAAAATTGCAAAACAGTTCAGTAATATGCATTTTGCAGGAGAGTAGAATTTGACTTGGCAGCAGGAATCATCTCTAATCAGTAGACTCAAATCCTCTAAACCTTCAGAGCGCTATGGTTCAGTATCTAGTACTTACACTACTTAAAACTCATGGTAATCAAAGAATAAACTGTGGGCTACACGATCACATTACCATAATACATGAAAAATGCTATAAGTCAGGGAGACATTTTATTGATGAGCATAAATGATTTATACTGTATGTCATTATGCTTTTTTGCATTTACAGTAACTGTTATTTTTAAACAGTACTGTATGTGTTCGCAGAATGTATGTGTCTTTTAAATGCATTGAAAAGTGTATGTCTTATCACAAGCCCCAGTGTCAGAACTTTTGACAATATTATAGAGCACAATCAGTATTTTCCTATTATTTTTCAGGCTCTTCAGGTCAAAATGATCCTTCTCAGAAAATGAGTGTTGACTATTTTAGGCAAAACATTCAGTCTTAATGTGTGTTCATACAACATAATTTTCTAATACATCTCAGAAATCTCGGAAATATGGAAACCAAAATCAATAGGATAAACAAAAAGGACTGAGCTCAGCTAACATCTTCTGTTCTCCTACAAGATTTCTTGGGATTCAGTTACAAAGCACTTAAAACTTTCTAGGCACACTATCCAAACTGGCCTAGAAATTAAATCTCAATAAACCAAATAATATCTTCTCTACTCTACAGTGGACTGCATAAACAATTTGGAAACAGCAAAACAAAATTCATGGTGTTCTGGAGATAAACTGTCAATTTAAATTAACTTGGAAAAGTTGGAAAAGTGCTTTGGTCCGATTAAAAGCAATAATGTGGTTAGTTAAAATAGCCATTATCCATTTAATATGCATGAAATCCTTGTTATGAGTGTCAATAACTTACACAAAACTGCTAAGGTTTCTACCATTCTAAAAACATTGGATGTGAAATAATCATCTGATCATACTGAAATTCATGATCAAAACCTCTCAACAGCCCAAGAGTACATACACATGATTAGCCAATATGAATTGTTCTTGTAGCTAATCCATCACATTTGCCAATCAACTCTAATTGACGCATTATCAGATTTTCCTCTTTAATAGTATTGCTGGTTACGCTGCACATAAAACACAAAAGTACAAGGTTGTGGTGAACTATAAAATGCAGATGTTTCAGGGTTAACTATTAGCTTTAAACAAAATTATACAATTACATACAATTTTAGCAGACAGCCACAGAACTGTGTTTTTGCATGAAGAAGAAAAAACAGTTAAAAGAGTAAAACAATGTAAGATGTTTTTGTGTAACACTAAAGACAATGTGAAAGTCTGTGTAACAATGTAAAATATATTTGCACAGCAGTACACATCATATTGTGGTGACTGTGACAGCACTCCAACAAATGAAGACAGTTCTTGTTAGTTGCTGTACTGTGTACAATAATGGTCTTTTGAGATTTTTTTCTTCTGGAGTGACAAGCAGTCAACAGCTCCTGACAGCAGTGAATATTCCAGAGAATTAAAACGGGGCTGCCAAAACAGTAGACCTGGATATAATCATCCTATTCAATGAAATGTTATCGCAAATTATCGTTTAGAAAAAAAACATCCAGTATAACAGAATATCAGGATAATACAACACAATGTAATTGTATATAACAATTTGTGGTATAAGATACCGTAGATTTTTCCTACGTTGTAAAATTTTCCTAGCCTGTTTGCTGAGGCTACCAAACATTTTTTTTTCCCTTTCGGTTCAAGGCATGTCATCAGAAATTCCCTTTCACTCTGCGTCAAAAGAAAATATTTTGCTTTTAAAACAGGTGCAATTTAATCATTCAAATAACCTCTAGCCATTGACATGTTTTTAAAGGAAAATATCCATAAATGCTGTAATGTCTTTTGATTAAGAAAATGCTTTTACTATGAAACCTGACATTTCGTTTTTCTCTTCTGTTCTGGTTCACAGCTGAGGTAAAAAAATCTACTTGTTAAGCTGACTGTTTGCTGAAACATTCAGTGGATTTAAATGGAGACATGTCTGTAAATAACATAAAAACCTTAAACAACACCTGGTTATACAGTGCTTTCCAAAAAATATTCAGATCCTTGATGTGTTTTCAGATTTTGTTGTTTTTAAAACTAGCAATTATTGCATATTGAGCTGCCAGGCAAGGAGGAAACAGGTTAGGAATACCACTCTAAGGCCAATGGTGAATTAGAAAGAGTTAAAGAATTCAGTGGCTAGGATAGGAGAAAATGTCCATGGGTCAACAACATCTCCACAAAGAGAGCTTGTGTAGAAAAGAAAGAAAATCTACATTGAACATCAATAAAAAACATAATGCCTCAATTAGTCAACACTTCACTGCTGTCAAGCATGGTGGGGGTACTGTAGCTTTATATAATAATTCTGCTTTTCAATAATTTTCCCTCTCAACAACAATGACTGGAAAGCTTGGTAAGATTGGAGGGAACATAGAACCAAATTTTAGGGGAAAACCTGTATCAGACCTAAAATTTGGATCAAAATTAATCTTTCTGTAGGGCAATGATCCTAAGCACAAGGCTATAGCTACACTAGAATGGCTTAAGATTAAGAAAGTAGCCACATCAAATTATTGATTTCGATAAGCAAAATTGCCAGGAAGAGGTAAAAATTGCACCCCGCTGACAACAGAGTTGGTAGAGGCTCAAATATTGAGTTCATGAGTCTGAATACTTATTGTAATCAGTTTTTTCTGTTGAAATTACTGCAGCTTATTTTATCTTCAGATTCTGCATTCAGGTTTTGAATGAAATAATTTTAAAAAGTATCCACCATTTTGTAATTTCACAAAACGGGACATCAAAGGGCTGACTCTCCGTGACGGGTTGAGGAGCTCGGCAATCCGGGAGAGCCTCAGAGTAGAGTCACTGCTCATCCAGATTGAGAGGAGCCAGTGGAGGTGTTTGGGCATCTCATAAGGATGGCTTCCACTGGAGCTGTTCTGGGCACGTCCCACTGAGCGGAGACCACGTAGCAGACCCAGGAAACACTAGAGGGAATATATCTGTTGGCCGTCTTGGGAGCGCCTGGGGATCCCCCAGGAGGAGCTGGAATCTGTTGCCGGGTACAGGGAAGTTTGGGCTGGCCTGCTGCAACTATGACCCTCACCAGGAAAAGCGGAGTTAAAATGGATGGATGGATTGGACATCAAAGGAAGGATCTGAATAGTTTTGCCAGGGTTAGGCACTAATTGTTCACAGGAAATGAAAGACCCCCTTATGTCCTTGCTTATTGTTCTGTAACCAGTGAAGGTGTGTGGTTACTTGTACAAATTGTTTATATTTAAGCCAGTGTCAGATCTATTATTTTGATTAAATTACCACTTTAGTCAAAATAATAGATTTAAAATATTTAGTCATTGTTTTGACTAAAATACCACTCCCATATGCGACAATATTCTATGCACAACTTTTATTCTCAACCAATATACAGTAGTGTATAGAGTAAAGTTTTCTGGGGGTTTAAAGACATTGCATAACTATAGTATATACGATTTTACATTCACTGCAAAATTAAGCAGATGCAAAAGATTTTAACAATCCAGTCAATCTAGTAAAAGCATGCTGGAATATTTTTGACATTTATTTTTGACATTTATATTTACAGTTGACCAGAATACAAAGGAGGAAAAACACTTAATCCACATCCACGTTTCCTCAGTGAATAACGGAATTATCACTTGTTAAAATTAAAAAACATTGGACAGTGAGTAGAGCTTCAGTTGTGAAATTAGTGCAGATGTACATTCTTACTGTTGTCTTCTGATTACTTGAATGCAAATGACAATATTTTAAATAATTCAACCTTTTTAACATTAACCATACCAGCATCGTGATTATTCCTGTTGTGTTAATCAGAATGGAGGACATCTAAATTAATCAAAGTAAAGATTTTAGTATCAGAAACAGTTCAATGAAGAACTTATCAAGTTATCTTATGCACGAGCATATACAGTAAGTAATCTCTCCAGGTTGTTACCTCCTTTGTACATCCACAAAATTATCATCTTACCACGCAGTGATTTCTACACCAATGAAATCCAATAAGTACATTTGAGAGAACAGAACAAGTTCATTGAGGTTAATGAAACCTACAGTAATGAAATAATACAGTACTCCTAAAGTACATGGAATAACAATGTAAGTTGTAAAAGAATCTCTGTGACTGTTAGAACTGTGCCTGTCTCCAATGTGCGTTTAGATTTGGTAAAATCAATTTCTTCATTATTTTGTTTGAAAAGGTAATTAAGAAATAGACATACCTGTAATGTTGATGATTTATGCAATTAACTGAAAA